ATTATGAAATGTATTCATTATTAAATACAAAGCCTTTAGAATAGGAATAACCTAAGCATTCTAATTTGACAAGGAAGGAAGGGAGAAAGAAAAAAAGAAAGAAAGAAAAGAAGGGAGGAACTCAGGGAGAGAAAGAGGAAGGAAGAGAGAAAGAAAGAAAGAGAAAGGGAGAAAGAAAGAGAGAGAGAGAAGAAAGAAAGAAAAAGAGAGGAAGGAAGGAAGGAAGGAAGGAAGGAAGGAAGGAAGGAAGGAAGGAAGGAAGGAAGGAAGGAAGGAAGGAAGGAAGGAAGGAAGGAAGGAAAGAAAGAAAGAAAGAAAGAAAGAAAGAAAGAAAGAAAGAAAGAAAGAGAGAGAGAAAGAAAGAAAATTACTCCAGATTCTATATTAAGAATATATGACTGAGTTCAAGAACAGATGTAAAGAGACCATTTACAAAAATAAAGACTTTTTACTGACTTGATCCCTAAAGGTAGATAAACATGGTGAGATTTGGGATATATTTTCAAAACAGAGTCCATAGGATTAGGAACTGAAAAGACTGAATTGTCATTAACTAAGCTGGAGCACATTGTGTGTTGATATAAGGTGTATAATTTAGTCATGAGAAAGGAATACAGTACTGATACAACATGGATGAAGCTTGAAAACATTATGCTAAGTGAAAGAGTCCACACACAAAGGCCACCCACGATGTAATCACACTTAGATGAAAAAATGTTTAGCATAAGAAAATCCATAGGGACAATATGTATATTAGTAGTTGTCAGGGGCAACGAAGGGGGGATAATAGGGAATAACTGCTGAAGAGTACAGGGTTTCTTTCTGGGGTGGTAAAAAATATTCTATAATTAGATGGTGTTTGCTGGGAGCTGCACCGGCCTCGCTGGATGACAGTCACAGTGAGGAAATGGCAGCATTTGTACAACTCCTGCCATGAGAAGCGAAAACTGGTATCTCCTTCTGCTACTACTGGCTCATGTTGGAAATGAGCCTGCTGGTATTGACCAGGCCTCACAATATTCCAAATCAGACCAATATTCTGAACACAGATACCTCAAACGGAAAAGCATATTCCTGCCTTTACAAAAGAGACTTTAGATGAAAGCTCTGTGGATGATTGTCAAAAGGCTCTTCCTATGGGCCTTGCAGACCCAAGACTTAGATAATAAAGGGGGCTAAGAACACAAGAGTTACAATTGAGCCTGGCCCTGAGACAAAGAGCCTAATTTAGAGTTAAGGACAGCTATCCACCACCACCCAATTGTTTCTGCTTGGAGCACTGACCTCCAAGGCATCTTGTGATCAGTATTTGGAGTGACTTATTCTGGCCTTGAATATGCTGATTGCACCCTGTGAAGGAACCTATTGTAGGAACTTCTTCTTTTGTGATTATGGGAGCAAACACTGTGTTTCCTGAAAGAACTGTTTTTCTTAATACTTCTCCTTAAACAAACAAGCTATTGACTCCTGCTCACAAAGAACTAACTTCACCCTTTTGATGCTAAAAACATTGTCTTGTATGCTAAAAATACCTTCCTTCCCCATAGGATAAGCATCTAAATCACCTGCCTCAATCACTATTGATAGAGGTTATGCATGAGTCTTTTACAAATCTATGTTAAGGGAAATTCTTACATATCAAAGAAATTTATCATCAGAAATCACTGTCTAAGGCAAATGCCACTTCTGTGCTGTCTCCCAAACACTGAATTATAAAATAAAGTTGAGCCCCAGTCAGAGCAGAGATGCCTGCCTGGTGACCAGAAAGATTCTCGGGGCTCTCTCCTCCTTCCCTCGCCGACACCATCCATTCTTCAGGGACCCCTGGACCTGGGTGAAGCCAGCCTCTGACAGGTGGTGACAGATTCATACTGTCAAAAGTTTAGTTTTGGATGTAAAATCGATGGCTTGAGAGATACAAATTTTGGAGTGAACAGTGGGTATGTGGTATTTCAAATCCTGACACTGGAAGTAAGTAAATGGAAATGGAAAGGAGAAGTGGCCCAAGACTGAGCCCTTAGACATGATAAAAGATCAGGAAGAGGAAGTCAAACCAGCGAAAGAAAATGCGAAAAATACCTGGTGAAGTATCCTAGCAATCAGGTGGGAATAAAATGATCAAACATATCAAATACTGCAGAAATTTCAAGTAAGATGAGATCTGAGAATTCATAATTACTATATGAAACTTTGTTAAAGGTACTGGTAAACTTGATCAGAATAGTTTTGGTGAAGATAGAAGAAAAAAATTCTAATTGGAGTTGTTCAAGAAACAATGCTGGAAGAGGAATTAGAGAAAATTTCCAGAAGACTCTTCAAAGGAATTGGTATTTTAGAAGAAAAAGTTAAATGGGGGAAAGAGGAAATTCAAGAGAGACTTGTATTTTATTTTGTTGATGCTGATGCTGTTGCTGTAGCTGATAGAACAAAACAGCACTTGGATAGCAATGGGAGAAATCCAACACAAAAGGGAAAAATGAAGTTACAGAACAGAAAAGACAGAACTCTAGAGCAACATCTTTGTGTAGACTGCAAGTATGGCATATTATATACAAATGCAGCACTGACGTGAGGGAGGAACAGGAAGAGGTCATCCCTAGCAAGAAGGGAAGAGAGAATCAGTGGGCATAGGTGGGTAAAGGGGGTAAAGTAGAGCGTTATCTTCTGTTTCTATTTCTTCTTAACATGGAGACCAAACTTATCAGCGAAAGTGAGGGTGGTGGAATGGTTATAGAGGTCTGTGCAAGAGAAGTGAGAAGAGAGAAATAGGACTAGGGAAACACAGCACAATAGTTAGGCTTCATACCAATCATGAATCTAAAATCATGCATGTAAACCAGTGAGCACATATCTGTGTGTGTGTGATGGTGACAGTGTTTCCAACCACATTCAACTGCATGAGTGCATGTAGAGTAGGTGGTTTTATTTTAACAAAGGTTGGTAGTTTAGTGAAAAGAAGAGCATGAAGCAAGATTGTCAAGCAAGGAGGGGTGGAAACAAGGAGGGGATTGTAATAACTATAAGTCATGGAGTTTATGCAGGATAAATAAGAAACAGAGGAGGACCTACATTTGGGCTACTAGAGGTAATGAACTGGAAAATAGAATTTTGTTGTCAGAGATCGGGGTGTTTGACAAGGGAATTATAGAGGGCATATGGTTATTGTTAATGACAAGGTCTACAACATTGAATGAAAATGAGTGTCTAGGGAAGAGGGGATGAGCATTTCACAGAAACAGAGAAGATCACAGACTGGAGGCTAGGGTCCTTGAAGGACATCTACATTGATTTTGAAATCTTCAAAATGATGACCTGGGTAGCATAAGTGAAAGTAACATGGAGTCATGAGCCAAAATCTTTAAGAAATGAAGAGGAATAACTAAAACTGGGGAGGAAGACTGGAGAGGGTAAATACATGACTTGCAACAAGGCATGATGATTGTAGTAAAGTTTGATGCAAATGACTTTAGGGACAAACAAAGGAGAATCATTGGAAGTAGCAAAGAGAAACGAAGAAAAAAACCTTCCACCTTTGAGTGCAGAGGTATATAAGAGAGACAGAGAGACACATCCACCACTTAAGACTGATACAAGAAAGCAGTGTTTCAGAGGAAACCGGTTTCAAAAGAGCAGAGCAAGAAAATGAGGGAATTACACAAGGCAGATAGAAAATGCCTTCTGAAAGCACAGTGAGAGTGGTTCAAGCCATTGCACAGAGCTCTGCAGGGATTAGAGTCTGTTGGATGAAGGATAAGTGGTGGCTGCACACAAGTAAGAAAAATGGACATGGTTAGACTGGTCCTGATATATAAGGTTTCACAGCATGAGCTGTGAGGGTGCACACCCTTGAGGAGGTGGGGTTAGTGCCTCACATGTGTGCAGAGTATTAGAGGTATCTGTTTATTTAATTTTTATTTTGTTTTTATAATTGATCTTTTTAATCACCCATAAAAGATAATGGATATTACTGAAATCTGAGCTATACAGAATTGTACCAAAATAGTTCCAGGAATACAAATCTGGAAAATTAACCCTCCTCTTAACGAGGATCTGGGCTTCTCTGATCTCATTCACCAAAGTCCTATCACAGCTTATAACATTCTAGAATGTGCTTTAAAAAAATAAATAGTATTTTTGGTGCTATCATCTCTGAGTTAAAGGGGTTGAGATTAAAAAAAAAAAGGAAAAATATTTATTTTCAGATCAGATACCTGCTGCTTCCAATTTAGATCTGGGGTAAACTATCAGAAGTGAAAACAGCAGACTGAAATGCACTGTGTTCTAACATCCCTAATTAACAGCAGTTGGTTCAGAGCAAACTTACTCAGGGTCTCCTTTTCTGCATTGAGCTGACCAGGGGAGACCTTGAAGGCAAAATGTGTGAGCCCTGTTAAAGAAAAACCTCAAACAACAGATAAGCACTGAAGTCTTTGAAGAAACTGTGAACACCCTCTGGGGAGAAAATTAGACTTGTGAACTTAAAAAAAATGGCACACAAACATTTTAACACAGAACCGAAGACAGAGGTCAACAGGGATATTCCAACCGAAGATTGCCTGTTGAGGAAGAAATTAGTTTTGAACATCAAAAATAAATGAACAAAGCGAGCAGAAAACAACATTAGAGTTCTTTCCTCATGGGAAAAAAAAAATCCCCTCAACTCTCCCCCCAACACAAACACACTAATTGAGCTCTACTACTGAAACAGAAACCATCTTTCCAAATAAGAAAATCTAATTCTAGGAAACTAATTGTAAAAAAGAATGGTTTTTATAAGCATCTCTATATATTCTTGCTACTTTAATAAAGCAGCTGATTTTGACTGACCTCTGTTCTTCAATTAGCTTTATTCTTATACTTATCTGTAATTTATTACCTTATACTAATTTATCATTTGCTCATTCTATTTTTAGCTGTAAACAGAAATGCAGATGCTTTCAGGCTAAGGACAATTTATCCCATTTTTATTTCCCTCATAATGACAGTCTTTAGGTTTAGAGTCAGCTGCAGTCACAGACCTCCAAGGGATGTACAAAGAGGGGACATTCAAACCAAGCACTCCCTTTTTATGACTATTAGGCTTTCTCCAGCCCCTCTGCAAGCTCCTTTTGTGTTGCTGCTCTATAAAACCAGGAAAATCAGCTTTGCCTAGACTGTAGTGATGGTCTCCAAATGTTCTTGCTTGAGGACCCTGTAAAAGAAGTTTGAAAAACACCTGCTCACACTCTGATCTTACCTGGCCTGTTTAGGGCAAGTGTTTAGGAACTGTTTAGGGCACAGTGGGGACTTGGCTCTATCAGTCATGTGCTGCCTCAACTGAGAGAGAGGCAAAATCAGCACCATAAAATAACTCCTTGGAGACCAGGGTAAGGACAAGGCCATAAAGAGGGTAGAGAATAAGAGCTTTACAATTTGCTTCTGCCACCCCCCAATTCCCAGGATTGGTTTCTGTGTCCTTGCCACTTCTCCCTGGGAGAATGAGGGACAGAACAAGTGAAGGCAAGCTTAAGTTGCCCCTAAAGTCTGTAGCATAAATGCTTCACCAAATCAGCCTTGAGTTTGTTGCTACCAGCATTGAGCTCAGTCCCCTAGATAAAGTTCCTGACCCTACCCATCAGAATAATGTGGATGGCAATAGTACTTAACTCATTATTGCTTGGTGAGTCTTAAATATGCATGTGCTCTGCATGATGCCTGGCACACTTCAAAAGCTCAGTCTCAGCAGTCCATGCACTGCCCATATTCTCCTACTGAAATTTCACTTAGGTTTCAAGCCCCATCAAAGGATATTTCTTTTTAGAGCAGCCCTCCTCCTCACCTTTTTCCTCTAAATGTGAGCTAATCACCTCAACTTGGGTAAATCAGTAGCACTTTATAACTTTGCTGTAGCAGTGATTCCCAAACCTGTCTAATCCTCATGATGGCCAGGGAAGTATGTTATAAAATGCAGGTTTTCATTCTTATACATGTATGTTGTTATTCAGTAGATCAGAGCTGGGATCTAAGAATACACATGCTGTAAACTCTCAGTAGCTGTTCTGATAATTAGTCACATTTGGAAGATGCCAACAAGATAATCTTCAATCCTATTCAGTTCTAAATCATATAAAATGTCCTGGTATTTTTAACTGCCTCCTTTTATTCCCAGTATATTGTTGTGCACTGAGGTTGAGGGGTGAATATGCAGACTGGGGAGACTGAACAGGTGGGGCCTATAGGAAAGGAGTTCCGGTTTGAGGGATTTTTCCATGGGGAAGGAGGAGGTCTTTTAAGACCTTCATATAATGACCAAGTGGGAAAAATGAGCTCAAGTTATTTAATGATAAATTTTCCCTAGATTACTTACCAGAAATTATGATGCTAGGACATTTCTCTCCTCCTTAAAAATTATCTTTACATTAAACATGAATTTAAATATAAATGATTTCACAAATTTCCTCCTAGAGAAAGCAACTGATAATTTTCCATTTTGATCCTCTTCCTTACTCATTTTTATTTCAATGACCGATGCCTTGAGCTTATTTTTGATTATATCTTGCCTTCTATATCATATTTCAAAAAGTTTCTTTTTATGACCTCCTGAAATATTGCAGGGCAGATTGAAACATGTCCCAAGCAGGCACTGAAATTTTAATGCATTTTTATGGGAACCAGTCACAGCCCCTTCAATACAACATTTATTTGTCCAGAAGGATGTTAGTGGAATATCCTTCTATTTATAACTCATTAAGCAAATTGTTCCCATACCTCAAGTATGTACAATAATTTGCATTTTTCAATTTATTTCATTGGTTCATCAATGTCATGTAAGCATTATAAAATGCATGCTGTGTATCTGAGTAAGTCCATCATATTAGGTAATCTAACAACTATAATGATGGCCAAGTGATGCCTTTTAATTAATGTGAGTCTTCTCTGAAGTTCAAAATGTTATTATTGCCACTTCCATTAATGTCTGTCTTGACACAGATCAAACAAAAATTCTTGCCACCAATGTTATCATTCTTTTTTTTTAATGTTTATTTATTTTGAGAGAGAGACAGAGCATGAGCATGAACAGTCAAGGGGAAGAGAGAGGGAGACACAGTATCTGAAGCAAGCTCTAGGCTCTGAGCTGTCAGCACAGAGCCCGACGTGGGGCTTGAACCCATAAACCATGAGATCATGAACTGAGCCAAAGTCAGATAGTTAACCAACTGAGCCACCCAGGTGTTCTACCAGTGTTATCCTTCTAATCCTCCTGCTGAGTACAACACACAGCACAAAGTAGACAATAAACATTTGTTGAATCAATATATTGCAACTACTTTTTTCTCTTTTATGAAAGATAGTTACAATGAAGTTCTAGCACTACCTTGTTTTTAAGTATAGAAACAAATGAAGTCATTACTTTTCAATGTGTGCATAACGAAATGGAGAAGGGTAAAAACTCCATAGCCCAATTCCCCAGATCAATCTAACAAAATGAGATTTACATGAGTAAACCAGATAATTAACTTATTTAACCACATGCATGTACATAGATAGATAATCTTAGATTTAGGGACATGTGTATTGATTCCTGCTTCACTTGATAAAGGATATAATTGTTCTTGTCATTTCTTAATTATAGCAAATCACTCATATGATTCAGTGTTTCTCTCCTTGCAGGGAACCAGCCTCTGCAAGCCAGGGTTGGCCCGGAGAGTGATGGTTGGTGTCGGCAAAAGAAGACACGGAGCCAGCCTCTTCAGGTGGACTGCTCAAATTTATTTTTCAGCTTAGGGTTTTTATATAGCAAATTCAAACAATCATGCTTAACCAATTTACATTTTTTGAGTACAGTCATAGGACTTAACATTTCTAAGTTTTCTTGGCAACAGTGATTTCACAGTACATGATTTCTACTTCAACCAATAAAATTTAACCAGGTAGTCATAACAAAGTTTTACATATTCTTTACTACGTATGACAGGGTATCTAAGAATAAGTGAAGCATATTGCCAGAATACATGAGGTCACAGTGCCCTTTAATTGTTTAAATTCAGTGGGCATGCAAACACAGGATATACTTGTACCCGCGGTTGTAGGTAACAGACTCTCACAACCACTTACTAAGAAAGAACAATGTCAACATTTATCATAGATGACGTATGGAAATGTTTTACGTGGATCAACTAGAATTTGGTCTCTGCATTTACCAATCTCATTCTTTGGCCAGAACAATCTATAAGTAGCCTTACAGGCTTGAGGTCAGCAGGCAAATTTTCTCTAACACTTTTTCGAGAAAGTCCTCCACAACTAGTAAGTCTTGTTTTTGTCTCTGCTTATGGCATAATATGTATTCTTACTGGCAATTAGACTCATACAAGGAAAATGAATTCTAGGTCTCTTATAGACCCAATGCATACCAGACTGTCTCCAATTTTGCTAATTGCTACAATATTTATTAGAAAACATCTGATTGAGGGGGCGGACATGATAGTTAGGTACATTCCATTTTGGAGGAAGGGGGAATGTACCTAACTCTGGTTAGGTATGGTTAATATGGTATGGTATAAACTCTGGTTTCATATTAACCCTAGAATAGACTAACAGCAGAAGTGAGAGTAAAAGGTACAGACAAAGTAGAGAAGAAGAATTTTTCCAGGGGTTCTTCTGACTGCACTGCAGTCTCTTCCCTGGGCCTTGCCATCAGGGATGACCTGTGAAGTCTCGGTCTCTGGCATCTCCTATTTTGCTTCTTTTCAATGCAATTTCCACTTATTTCAGATGCTTGATGTTTAAAATTCAAAATTTAAATATTTGAGATTGCTCCTGGGTGGACTGAAAGTGCCTCAATGGTTCTAACTTGGAGAATTCCACTCTGTTTACCTGAAACTCTCCTCTAATTTTATTGTGTAGAACCAGGGTCAGCAAACTAGTGCTCATAGGCCAAATCTGTTTCCAGCTATTCTTATATGGCCTCCAAGCTAAGACTGTTTTTTAAATGGTAGAAAAAAAAATCAAAGGATGCGACAAGTGAAATTCACTGGAAGTTCAAATTTTCGCATCCATAGCTCAAGTTTTAAGGGAACACAGCTTAAGGCATTCATTCAGTATTGTCTTTGTGTACTTTCACATGACAGTGACAGAATGGGGTTGTTGTGATAGAGACCACATGACCTAAAAATCCTAAAATATTTACCATTTAGTCCTTTACACAAAGGGTTTGCCCACTGCTGGTACAGAGCATTTATTTCTACTTTCTGTCTGACAACATTATTTATTATGTGTCCTGTTTAGTAGCTTTTTTCTTCCCAAATAGGTGTCTTTGGGGCATGTTCAGTAAGCTTAGAAAAAGACAGGTTCCACTGGTACAAATACAATCACTCTCCTGTGTCTTTACCTTAACATTAAAAAAAAAAAAATTCTAAATAATTTTTTTCAAAAAACATAGCTTGTTTCTTTGTGGCCAATTTCTATACCACTAAATATGGAACCTATTTCTAGTCCAATGATCTTGACAGCACTCTGCCAAGTGCTTAAAGAATTATGTCATAATTGATTTAAAATTTTTTTGACAATTAAAATGGTCTGTAATTATAAAACCACCATTAAAATACCATCAACAAATGAAGTTACTTTCCTTATAAGCGAATATATTACTAAAGAAGTTTTGGTTAACTTGCTAGCTGAACTGCGTTGTTCTAACTTATAAAAACAAACATAAGTCCAGTTCCGTAACTCTCATGGTTGAAAGGAAGAAAATTCTGAATCAGTATTAAATCTTCATTTTCCTGACTGAACACCATGTGGTGCTTTTCATTTCCTTGCTTGAATGTAAATAAAATATAAAAGACTCATAGGCTCACTGAGATATCTTTGTACAACTTAATTCCACCTTTAAAGTTCTCAGAAAACTACTTTTAAAAACATTTTTATAATAGTTTATTTAGTTTTGAGACAGAGAGAGACAGCATGAGCGGTGGAGGGGCAGAGGGAGAGGGAGACACAGAATCCAAAACAGGCTCCAGGCTCTGAGCTGCCA